AACAACAGTTGTCTCACGATGCTTTAACGGAGAGTTTAAAACTGTCAATTACACTGTGACTGACCTCCTGCTTACACAGGCCTTCGGAAAATACTGGTTTTAAAGACAGGCTGAGGCAGGCAGACCTGCAGGAGGATACAAACAAACTGAGAACACCCACACGTTTATAATTACGCTGACATTTTACAGTGGGAAAGGCGAGTTTTCTCTGTATAAACACTGTTTAGCTTGTTATCACATGGAAAACTCGTTTTTTAAAAAGGAGCTGATGCTCACGTATCAGAAACCAGAACTAGGAAGTCTCTGATAAAGTATGAGGTGATTCACCAGTACACCAGTACACCAGTATAAATCGATACATTTCAGCATGACTGCAAAAAACTCAAAATATCAGGATGTGCTTGTTTGCGTTTTGGCTAAAAAGAAGAAGAAGTACGTTTACATGATTAATACGACTTTAAAAACCTCTACAGTAGGTAAACAAAAAGCGACGGGTGCTAACCAATGTTAGCCTGACCCACAAACAAGCTAGCTGCTTCCTCCTGTTTCCAGTGTTTATACTACGCGACATTATCTGCCTGCTGCTTATAGAGATCTAACCACAATGTATGTAGCTCATGTCAAGTGAACGCCCCAAAGCTTTACTTATTGCTTTTATTTTTTACTTTAAAAAAAAATTATTAGATTTTTATTTAACTTATTACTTGTAGGGTATTTTTAATTGAATAAGTAAAATTAAATGTTTAATATCAGTAAAGAACGGCCTCGTATATCCATCCATCCACACTGAGCCCGGCCGATATATTGGACCATGTCAGCTATTTGCTGATCTGAGCAAAGAATTTGAAATGAAATAGGAAATTAAACGAGGATCTTTTCAGATATAACCATCAGATATAGTTACATGAGATTTTTGCAAAATATTGGCACCAGTTTGGATCTGATGAGCTTTAAATCAATCCTTCATTCCAGCTTTTTGTGTAGTTTCACGAGTTTTGTGGGGCTCCTCTGATTGGTTTAAACTTCGCATGATGTTGGAGACAAAGCCTACTGCTGTAAGCTACAGAGAGGCTACACAGCCCTGTCATGGCGGCTGCGTTGGAGGCCCAGGCTGGTCCCCGGGGACTTCTCGGTGGCTTGGCTTTTATCCTGCGTGTAGTAAGTTTGTAGCTTCTGACTGGCCTGGTTCTGCTGAGGCTTCCATTCACAGCATTGTCAGTCGAAAGAAAGAAATGTATTGTTTTCACATCATATTCACTGAAGGGCTGAGCTGATCTGTATGAGCTTCACTTGTTCCCAAAGATGCGAATACTGGTTCTTCATTCAAACTGGCAAAAGACGAGGTCTTAATACACAATTGTGAAGCGGTCTGCAGGTTCGATTTGATTCTTGTCATCAACAGTCATCATTACAGAGTGACTTCTCAAGCAGAAACGATATTTTTTGAAGTAAAAATGTTCAAATGCACCAAGTTGCCCAAGTTTAAATGAACATTTTAATATTTGTCGGTGTTTGTTTCTCTGGGACTCTGCAGCAGTCTGTGAGCCACGCTGCCAAACCCAGTGGAGCTTTAAAGTGAATACTGTTATAACAGGACAGAGCCTCTTAGCTGACCAGGCAGCTAGCTGGTCAAATCAGTAAAGAGCCTGATGCCAAGGGGTTATTATGATTATGCAAAGTGAACAAACTACCAGCATATGTTTACCTATTTCAAGAGAGTAAAATTGATCCTGTGTTAAAAAATCAATATAGATTAGTAAAGTAACAAACTTCAGTGAAATACATTAAGGAGATTGTGAGTATGGATTGGACTGTAACTCACGTTTAAGTGCGTAACCTCCATTGGTTTTACTCGCTGTTTAAATCCTATGTAGTACCACAATCAGTACTGTGGAAATGTTCTGGACTGGAGGAGGTTCTCTTGTGAAGAATAGCCCAGATTAAGTCATAATGATGTCATTAGCTTTATCTCAGCCTGAAATCTGAGACCATAAATTTCAGAGAGATGGCGTGAGTTACAGTGGATGAAAATCCCTGTCATGTTACATTATGGGATTCTTCTTCAGAGTGGGCCTAAATTAGGACTCTAATGCTTCTCCCAACAACCACGCCTTAATCTTAAGTTAATATATTACTAAACTGCTGAAGAAGCCAATTTATCTTAAAGCGTGTTTGCTGTTTAGTTTTGTGGCAATTTTGACTTTTATTTTAAGGCACCTGTTGTAATATTGGAGCGTGTATTGATCTTCTGTAGAAACTTTTCTATCATTGCTGTTATGTTCTGGTCACGGCTGATGGCCCCGCCCCTCCCTGGTTCTGACAGTTTCTTCCTGTTGTTTAGGTTGTTTACTCCCATGAATCTAGGTTACAGGTGCATGTTAACTTTAAGGGTCAGCTTTTCTGTTCAGAGTACTTCTGCAGGGTTACAGACTTTAAAGGCGACCTTGTTCCTGTCGTTGGGTGCACTTTACTTTTTTAGTTATTTTGTTTATGTTCTACCTGCTGTTTTATCTTTCTCTTTGTTTGTGTGTTTGTTTTCCTGAGGAAAAGTAGAGATTGTGTTTCTGACATCTTAAGGGAACACCCTAAAGCTTCATGTACGCACAGACACACACGCTAACTAAGCTTTAAAGTTACTCGACAGGAAGGAAGCGTGACAACAGGAAGCAGTCTTACAATCCCGCCCTCTGACCCTGTTTGTGTCACAGTATTTGTGTGTGTACCTCCTACACTCGAGGGAATGTAATAATGCTGTTACATAAAGGCCTATGGGTCTGTGTGTACACACACACACACACACACACACACACACACACACACACACACACATATTAGCATATCTGCCAGACAGGGACAGTGAGAGAGAGCATATCAGTGCCAAAATCCCACTGGGCAAGCCTGAGGTTGCCATGGAAATGAAGCCATGTGATCACAGAGGTGGTCACCAGGGAGACAGATGCTGCTGACCTTTTTTAACAGGGGGGGTGTGGGGTGGTTTGGATGGGCTTCAGTAGAAAGATATGGAGCACAGTACAGTACAGTGAGAGTGTACGGACTGTGTCTAAAGCCACAATAGATGTAAATGGTTATTGTGAGATAATATTTCTGGATGCTTCGCCCAGTATCGCAGGCTAATGATGTGCAGTGAAGATCTAATGCATCAGTTAAAAACAAGGGAAGTATGTAGAAGCGTACTTCCCTAGCATGCAAACATGCTACCTGTCAAAACCAAGCCACAGCGAGACCCAGCGTCCTCCTGCATGTCCTGGTCTGTGTGCAGTGTTTGTAACCTTATGGCTCTAGAATAAAAAGAGCTAAAGCTGCACCTTTTTCAAAGCAGCACTGGATCAGAATTGGAGATGGGAAAAGTGTTGAGACGGAGGTTTATTATGAGGCTCTCCAGCTCCCCTCAGCTCATTAGTTCTGGTGTGTGTCCTTGCACCTTTTGATTGACTCTCACCGTTCTCGTCTGCTCCCATTGGAGAGCTTTAAGTTTCTCTTAGGAGTTGATCAAGATGAAGCCAGAGGTAAATGCATATACAGCTTATTCACTGTGTGGACAGGAAGAACAACTTTAAGTGGCCTCAAATGTTGCTGTATGATGAGACATGTGTATAATCTAATAATAATACAAGAATAATAGTATACACACTCAGTATATACGTACATACCTTTTCAAAAAGGTGTTGTTTTCACATTATGATCATTTCTGAGCTTTAATTTGTGATTTTTAATTAATTAATCAATTGTTTTGCAACTAAGAGGTGTCTAAAATTAAATTAGGTGCACCTTACAGGATGAACCACTTTTCCCTTCATAACTGCCTTAATTATCCATTGCATAGATTCAACAAGGTGCTGGAAACATTCCTCAGAGACTGTCGTTCATATCGACGTGACAGCATCACACAGTTGCTGCAGATTTGTTGCCTACACCTAGAGGCCATTTGAGTGCAGTGTGTTGGTGTGAGATGATTTGAGTTTTGTGACATGGGACAATATCCTGTTGGAATATGGATACGCTGTGGTCATAAAGGGATGCACATGGTCAATAACAATACTGCTGTGGTGTTAAAATGATGCTCAGTTGGTACTCACGGGCACAAAATGTACCATTAAAATATTCCTCACACCATTACACCACCAGTGGCCTTATCCACTGATACAAGGCATACAGTGGGTCCATGCTTTGATGCTGTTTATGGCAAATTCTGACTTCTGAGAGTAAGAGAAAATGAGACTCATCACACAAGGCAACATGTTAAAAATAAGCTTTTTTAACCTTTATTTGACAGCCTTGCAGTGAAGAGTAGACGGTAAAGTGTTTCCCCAGAGAACTGCTGCTCACTGGACATCAACTGTAAACCCTGCAGATGGTGCTGTGGGGAAATCCAGTGTTGTGTTGTCTGAACAGCAGTTTGTGAAATACTCATACCAACCTGTCAACAACAATATGTTCAGACTCCTCTTTCTTTTGGGCACAGCTACAGCTTCTTTGTGCTTCCCTTGTTTCCTTTCTATTCTCTACAGCTCCTGTCCAAAGAAGAATAATTGGAGAGAAAGAAAATCCCCAGTCTTACGCTTGGTCTTCTTAACCATACCTCAGTGCACAAAGTTCCTGTTTAGATATTCGGTTTAACAAGTGGTTGAACAGGTGTTGCTAACGTAGTAGCCATCTTCGTTCTTGTCTACAACGTGAGCAAAATATCCCCAAACAGCTGATTGAAAAAGACCTTTTTCAAATGGCAGATACAGTTTGATTGATGATGTTTAAGGTTAAATATTTCAGTTTTTGTATGAAAAATGATTGGGACATATACCTGAACATGCAAAAAGACGTGTGTAGCACATCAGCATCAAACCTTCACCAGTCACTGTGAGCTTATGAGGCTTTCATGTAGGAGTTCCTCAGGGAACTTTCCGAGTGCCTCTGTTTTTACACTTAGCCCTCTCAGTTAGATGCATTTGGATTAGCTATCTAATCGTTTGCCCTCTGCATAGGTCTTTACCACCTACTCTAATGAAGATTACGACCGACGTAATGATGACGTTGACCCCATGGCAGCGTCAGCTGAGTACGAGCTGGAGAAGAGGGTCGAAAAGTTGGACCTGTTTCCCGTCGAGCTGGAGAAAGGTTTGCACGCGTCTTACATGTCACCGAGAGTCACTCAGTCAAGCCTCTTATGTAACTGTACACACTCACACAAGAGGCTGCAGTTAGTGGACATACACTGTCGCTCTAACAGCTCCATTATCCCCTTATGGGATTAAATTTAGCACAGATTGGCCTAATTAGTAGCCAGTAACTCTGAAGGTAATGGATTTGAACCAGCAACCATGCGTGACGGCTGCTCTCAGCACTGTATAATAGCTATAATTTCACTAATATTTAATAGCTTGAATGTGGATAAATCCCACATGCTTTTCCCTGCCACTCTATAATATGATTAGTTATTATGATAGCAAAATAAATATGACAGGATTCTAATTAACAGTAATGATGTATTTATGTTTTCAGCACTGAGATATGGCTCTGTTGTCTGTGTGTCTTTCAGACAGTGACGGCCTCGGTATCAGTATCATTGGTATGGGTGCAGGAGCTGATATGGGCCTGGAGAAGCTGGGGATCTTTGTTAAGACGGTCACCGAGGGCGGAGCTGCGCAGAGAGACGGCAGGTACCTTCTTCAACCTGCCTGCACCGACTTGTATCTAAAAGTTGGAAGTAGCCACCATAACATTACGCATTTTTCATTCTTTCAATTTTATTTATATAGCTCGAAATCACAGCAACAGCTGTCTCAAGGTGCTTTATATCGTAAGGTAAAGAGCCTGCAGTAAATCAAAGGGAACAGAGAAAACCCAACAATCATATGACCTCTAGGAGACAGTGGGAAGGAAAAACTCCCAACAGGAAGAAACCTCCAGCAGAACCAGGCTCGGGGAGGGGCGGCCTAGACCTAATGCAGCATAAGGGATGAGTCGAGGTCACATGATCCAACACTATGTGCTTTATCAAAAAGGAAAGTTGTGAAAAAGCAATAGTTGGCCCTTTTTTGTAGGCTTAACACTATTTTTCTTTGGACAGCAGGCATGATTATTGATTATTAGCTAAATGTACACTTTTGCCTTAAATGTATTTCTTTGCAAACTTGATTCTTTAGCTGATAGTTGCTCACTACTGTTACCTTCTTCTCATTAGTGTGAGTGCAAGTTTTTAAAGCTCTTTGTTAGAGACACCAGTTTAAAATAAACAGGCAAAAGCATAAAATGCCACAGGCTAGGATGTAACATGGAGCCAGTGCTAGTCCACAGGCCTGTCTGGTCAAAGACACTCATAGTTACATTTGTCGTTGCATGTGAGAGGTGTGTTCACTGAGCGACCTTGGTCTTCTCCAAACATCGCTCTGCATACAGTGTTCTCTTTGTGTCTGTAGGATCCAGGTGAATGACCTCATAGTGGAGGTTGATGGGACCAGCCTGGTTGGTGTTACTCAGAGCTTTGCTGCCACTGTCCTCCGCAATACCACCGGCAAAGTCAGGTCTGTGTCGCACTCACTCTAAACACGCACACAGTTGTTTTCATATCTTTGTGAGGACATAATGCTTCCTGTAGCTGCTTCCCCTAACCATCAAGAATGAGTGTCTAATCCTAACATAACCTCATTGCAATCGTGACGCTAAAACCACATTTTGAGCCTCGTGGGCATTTTGTCCCCATAAGGGCTGCTGGTCCCCACAGGTAGAGTAACACTCCAACGTGTGGTCCCCACATCTGCATTTTTGAAACACATTTCACATTATGGAAGCTCTTTTTGTCCATTAGTGGTATAAATTGCATATTATTACTCTTTTTTTTTTAGTTGGTGTGTTTTGAAGCTCTGGAGTTTTTCAGGTTTGATGTTGATACAGTGAATTTTTTCATGTTTTCCACATATGCAGTGTGTACAGTTTAGTTTGTGTAAAATGTTTCATTGTTTCCTTTTCTTGCGAATGACAAATCCTACGTTTTTGGTTTTGTTTTCTAGGTTTGTGATTGGCCGGGAGAAGCCGGGGGAACAGAGTGAAGTGGCTCAGCTGATCCAGCAGACTCTGGAACAGGAGAGGTGGCAGAGAGAGATGATGGAGCAGAGATACAAACAGTACATGGATGATGATGAGGAGGTACATGCTACACCTCTCTGTCGTGTGGGAGGGAAAAGAACAGCCACTGATATCATTTTCGAGGCACAGCTACCACACCAACGTTGGCTGGGTGCACGCCGCGCAGACATAGCTCAGTAGGCAACTCCCCCGTGACATTTCATTGTCCTGCCCTGCGTGTGGTCTTCCTGTTGATGCGCTGCTGAGGGGCGGTTCTTGACACATGCCATGTGACACATTGCAGCAGCAGCGCTCTCAGCTTGAGAGGGTGATAAACACAGTGAATGCTCAAACACAGTCAGTTCTCCTCACTGCACCTCCTTTGTCCTTTGAAATAGTCCAAAATAATGAAAAAGTCGTTGTTTTTAGTCAGTAAACACAGAATCCAAACACACTTTGGCCTGCATTTGGAAGGCAACATTGCTCTACTTCACAAAGATATCCTACATGTAGTCATTAAATTCATTTTCACAAGCCTTTTGATGGTGTTAGTGGTTGTTAGCCACAGGAAATCCAACATGTGTGCATGGGAAAATGCCTGTCTGTGCTCCACCACATGCCATTTCAAACTCAGTCCAGCATCTCCACCTTCTGGTCAGAGAGAAAACTGCATCAATACAGAAATCATTGAATTCCTAGTTTCTAGGGTCAGGTTTCATAATTAAAACAGTGGGACCAGGCTATTTCCTACACATGGCTCATGGGACAGAGTGTGGCTTGTAGGCTGGGTATCGTCACTGATTTCTAGAATCGTCTCAATTCCGATTCACAAGGTCCTGATTCGATTCGAATCGGGGAAATTTTGCCTCAGACAGTCAGAAATATTATAATTCTGGTCATTTATCGGCACATATCCATATTTTTATAGCTATAAAAAGAAAGCTGAGACTTTGTCAAAGGTGTGAGCATCACAGCAGACGCTTTAGTGTCAAAGTAACTGAGCATAAAACACAGAGAAACATGTTTTTATAGCAGAGAACCTTAAAAATATTGTGCAGTAGCACGAATCAACATATAAACATCACCTGATGCTGCTGAAGTGAAGCAGAGGATTAATTAGAGACACAGCTGTTGCAATTTAACATCATTTTAAAAAGTTTACATTTCTTCAGTATTGAACAGCAGAAATGAGACTTTCTTGTCAGAAATCAGTTAAATTTAAAAAAAATAAATAAAACCAGCAGCAGACAGCGCTGTACACAACAGTAGAGAGAGAGAGAGCTGTGCATGAAGTGTGATTTTATTGTGGTGGAAGCAAAAGAGGAAATTCATGACGATGATGATGTGAAGCTTAGTTTGATCTTCAGTCGTTTTTGGTTGTAGAGTATTGAAACCTGCAGCTTCGGAGTCTAGCGCAAAAAAGACGTAAACACAAAGCGCGGACCCGCCGACGCATCAGAATCTGAGCGCTGACGGCTTTACGCGCCGTCGGCTGAGAAAGCAGACATCTGTGATGCGTCGGCGCGTTGTGTTTACGTCTTTGTGCTGAATGCGTGTACCTGCTCTGGTTTGCTGTTTGGTTGTTGTCGAAATTTTGTGAGGTTTAACCTGAGATTCTGGCATGTCGGGCAAAATAAATTTACATTTAAAAATCGATTCAGGATTCTAATGATAGACTCCTAACATTTCATCACTCTACAGCCTAAAATGAAAGAGCTCTGATTTCATGCCTGGGGGCAAATGTCAACTCAAGGCTTGTGTACTTTGGTTTGGTTAGCCAGAGAAGCCACAGAGCACAGCTGCAGTTATCAGAGGATGTTGATATGGACGGCAGCGTGCGCTCTGGTTTGCTGCAGTCTTGTAATAAATACAGTTACTTTACAGTATTTACCTCAAATTGTGTCTGAGTAGGAAGAGTAAGCAGAGAGGAAGACACGGTACAGTCATTGTGCAAAGCAATCATGTATTAAGTAATACATTTTAGTTAATGCGTTTGTTAGCCTGGAAGAAAACATGCTGGACACGGGCTAATGTGAGGCTAATTTACTTTGTAACACAAAGGAGAAGAATAAGACGAATGATCAGCAGGCTGTTATCGATTGTGTGAATGCTTTTAGTGGAAGACGATGTGCTGGCTGCATTTTGTTCCAAGGGAATGAGTCTGAACTGTCAAACCACTGACCAGATCGTTTCTTTCACTTAATTTGTGACTGCATACTTGACCTAGTTGCCATTTATATCATTTTATATGACAGGTACTCCTGCCAATTAGATTATGAAGAGACAGACGACTCAAATGTACCACACAGTGCTATGAGTGTAAAGCTAATGCCAGCAACTAGCTAACATCTAACAAATGACTAAGTTCTGTTTGAAAAAATAAATAAAAAATAAAATTCACTAATCATGTTTAGTTTTTTTGTAACGGTTACCTTTGGAGATGTTGGTAGGTGACTGAGATACCTTTTGTCTACCAAAGCAACCTAGCTTTGCACTAAGTAGCATAAGACTGTTTTAAGCTAACTAGCTTAAATAGTATAAGCCACCAAACTGTGAAACCACATGCATGAGCCTAGCCAAGAGTCCTTTTTGACTCTTGGAATGACCAAAACTTACCAAATGGACTTTTGACTTCAAACAATCGCAACTGAACTCCTAAACCCAAAGGGACGGTGAATAGTGTATCAAACATGAGCATTGAAAAACCAACTAAATGTGGTGGTGCCGTAAGCCTGCATTAGATCTGAACGCCACCAGATGCCGATTGCTCTGATTGCAAAAAGATTTTGGGAGCATGGAAAAGGCTTTCTGACCTGACTGCAGACAGTTTCCTGGTTAGCTACTTGTTTTGGGTCATACTGAATAACACATTTAGTCTATTTTGGTAAAACTATTTTTCCATTGGATTTTCTGTTGATTTGCTCTTTGGCTAAAAACCTGGAGATTGACAAGCGTCCGGCAGTGAGCCGGCGGGTTCAGACCCAACCCTCCTCTTTCTGGTGTTTTTGTTGTTGTTGTTGTTGTTGTTTTTCCTTTCAAACCAAGATAGAGATGGACTAGAAACTAATGAAGCACAAACCTGGAAGTCAGTCTTTTATACCATCTATACCAGGGGTCCCCAATCCCAGTCCACGAGTGCCGGTGTCCTGCAGGTTTTAGATCTCACCCTGGGTCAACACACCTGAATCACATGATTAGTTCATTCCCAGGCCTCTGGAGAACTTCAGGACATGCTGAGAAGGTCATTTATCCATTTAAATCAGCTGTGATGGATCAAGGACACATCTAAAACCTGCAGGGACACACCGGCCCTCGTGGACTGGGATTGGGGACTCCTGATCTATACTAACCAGCTACTCCAGCTCCATATCGGATGCAATCATTGGTCTGCTATGTAACCTTATACCTGTAAAACCTACTCATACAATATGTATAAAATATCACAACTATTACCAAATGTAACTGTATTTGTTGCGCGTGTGTTTACCTGCAGACAGGTGAATATGCGACAGACGAGGAGGAGGAGATGAGTCCGATGTTTCCGAACTCGATAGAAGTTTTCGATCTGGCAGAAAACCAGGAAATGCTGTCCCCTGTGGAGCTGGACCCAGAGAAACTGGCCCACAAGTTCAAAGAGGTACATGTGATATAAATGATTTGGATGTTAATGTCATTATTTTATTCTTGTTTACAGTTTTACCTAGCTTGATTTTTGTTATGTTTATTTGTTTGTTAAAGAAATCAGATTGTTTCTCCCTCTGTCTGCAGCTCCAGATTAAACATGCAGTAACCCAGGCTGAGATCCAGCTGCTCAAGAGGAAGGTGAGCCTGTTTAACACACACTTATACACATGCAGGCAAAAAACCCTCAAAACAACAGCACATTCAGGTTGCACTGCAGAAGAGAATGTACACATGCATAACACCAGTTCTTTTTGGCTCTGTGATGACTTAATGCCTCCCACATACCACCTCCTCCTCCCACACTGACCCCCACCCCGCCTCCAGCTGGCTCACGCAGAGCAGGATAAGTTGCGTTGGCGGATGGAGCGTGCTCAGTTGGAGCAAAATATCCGGGACAGTAAAGAGAGGATGGAAAAACTTGAGGGCTACTGGATGGAGGCACAGTCTCTATGTAAGGTAAGATAGTAAACCTAAACTTCAAAAAGGCACGAGTGAATCAAGTGTTTCTTTTTTTTCCCTCATCCCTTAAAAACTAAAAAAAATGAGCTCACTGCCACCCTAAAACTAGTTTTGTTATCATTTACTCACAGCGAGTATTTGTCTTTTCAGGCTGTGGATGAACACCTGAAGGAAACTCAGGCTCAGTATCAAACCCTGGAGAGGAAATACAGCAAAGCCAAGAGGCTGATCAAAGAATACCAGCAGAAGTAAGGAAGGAGAAGGAGGGACAGAATAAAAAGATAGGAGTAAAAAACACCACCACTCCAATGTGTGTGTGTGTGTGTGTGCGTGCGTGCGTGCGGGTGTGTGTGTGTGTGTGTGCATTTTAGGGAGATCGAGTACCTGAAGAAAGAGACTGCTCAGCGTCGGGCAGAAGAGGAGAGCGAGGCAACACACAAAGAGGAGACAGACAACCTGCAGGAAAAGGTTCGCAGTGGACTCACCTGAATCTCTCACTGTCAGGTAGCAGAGCTTTTCCCGAGCAGGAAAGGCAAAGGAGGGTCACATCTTGATGGCAGTGTTCCTCCATTATGTTTTAGTACACTGCTCAAACAAATTAAAGGAACACGTCTGATCTCAGTCTGTGCTGCTACAGAGGGAAATGATCAAGCTGCAGATTATCGTCCCACAGGTTTTGTTCACTTGATGCTCTGCTTCAATTAAGTGTTTCTTTAACACTTTTCATAAAAGGTTTAACGTTATATTTCTTGAAGTTATCATCCACTATGTTTTCCACAGATTACAGACTTGGAGACCAAAGTGGATGCCTTGAAGACCCCCAATCCCTCCTAGACTGCTGCTACTTCCTGCCTCCTGTCTGCGACTGAAGGAGGAGGAGCTCCCCCATCATCCTACCGCAGGGGGGCTGTAATTTATTCCAATCAACCATTCACTGCAACGGACAGGTAGCAGAGGAGGGAAAAAATCCCAGCAAGTAGAAGAGAGGACCGTGGAGAAGGAAAGACTCAACCTCTCATGTGACATCTGCCAGTGGCTTAGTGCTCCGTCAGTCAACAACAAATCCCAGAATGCACCTTCTATCATATCCAGAATCCTCCTTTTGTGTCTTCCTGGCAACTGGCTTGGCATTCAACCCGGAAACCATATTCAGCAACTCAGTTTGTAGACGATGTGTTTTCTCCTCTCTTTAGCAGCATCTTACCCAGGTTCTGTGAATAAATCCGATTTATTAAAAACAAAAAGCGCTTTTAATAACCAGGCTCGTCACAAAGTGCTTTATAGAGCGACAGAGGGAATGAAGCAGAGCAAAAGGGACAAAAGGACTGCTGTTATTCGACCTTTGAGAGAAGAGGACGAGCGTGTTCTCTGCCCGTGGCGATGCTCGTTTTCATCTGAAACTACCAGGAGAAGCGGTGACCTTATTTTTAGAGACACGACACCTTTCAAGAAGTGGAACCTCGGTAGTAAGACTCGACAAAACTCTGATGGCCACCGCACCGCCCATTAGCGAAGTAATAAAAACTATGGAGCAAGATGGCCTCCGTGTTTCAAAACTGTCAAAGCCCAGCTTTTTGCTTTCTTTTTTCTGACCTAACTCTCTGCAAACGGTGGTATTAGTAAAGAAGAAGTGTGCGTTTCAGGTCTGAACTACGTGGCGTAACGTTTGTATATATTCTATACATTTATTTAAAAGTGTTAAAGTGGCTTAAGCAATTAGATGGATCTGGAATCTAAGAGTGAGGCGGTGACGCCTTACTGTGGAGGGAATGGTTCAGTAGTCCTCAGTCTGTTTCATCTCTTTTCTCTCAGCATCAATGGCAAACAGGGTGTGAATAGTCTAATTTGTGCTTGTAGAACTTCTAATTGTGTATATCTGTTGGTGTTTACTATATACTCTGTGGGTTTACATGCACACAAACCTGCTTTCAGGTCAGCCGTGCACTATATTCTCACGTGTAGGAAGGCTTCCTTTCTCGTTTTAGAATATCCTCTTAGCTCGCACTCTTAGCTACTACCATATACATAAAATATTAAAAAATCTATCGTCCAAACATGTCATGGAAGCAGAGAATGACTACAGATAGAAACTGATTCATTGAATTGGCAATTGAGGTCAAATGCAAAGTGGAAAACAGCACTAAGATTAGAGAATTTGCTCATTTAAAATCCTATAACAATATACTGGATATTTACTAAAAAGATAAATTCATAATTTGTCCAAAAGCAGGTCCAATTATTACTAACTTTTAGATTGGAGTTTACTGTTATTACTGCCACTAATATCCCCCATCAATAATAATGTTCCTATATTGCGCAGTAAAACTTTTCCAAGCAATTATATACCTAACTAAAGACTCATATGAAATGTAATTTTCATTTTAATTATTATTATTATTTTATTAGTATGGAAGACTAGTATGGCCACGGGGGCCTTTTTTTTTTTTTTTTTTGTCCCTAAAAACAGGTGAACAGAATCAGCCTTTTGGGATTTACTTACCTGGATGATTGAGCATGCACCAAGACTCCCTAAAAAACCAACTTTGAATTTAACTTCAGTTTTTTCCCCCAGAACTATCACACAAATACTCTTCCAAAACTAGCAAGTATAAAAAGTAAGTGGAAACTACTACTGAAAAAATTTAAATTGATCCCCCAGTTTTTGTTTTTCTTCATTGGCTGACTTAAATTTCCAGATCATAAATTGACTAACATGATATAAACGGAGTATAGTGAAACACTGGACACTCAAATATTAGATTTTATTTGAACATTAAAAAACAAAAACATAAAATCTTAAACTTTACTAGCTAAAAGTTACTTTTATGAAGTGGTTTCTGTTTCTGTAAGTGTTATTGTAATAGTTTAATAGTTTCTTTCGTTTGAACATTACATACTGACTAGTCAAATGTCACTAGTTCTAAGTTAGTGACATTTCTCCGTGGTTCTGTATTGGCTAATGTCATTTGGCTGTCGGTTAGCTTGTTAGGCTATAAGTGTTGACTGACAGTAGTAGTTGTTAGCTGGCAATATGTTAATTTAACTTCCCAAAATCACAAACTAGAACTATCAAGGATGCCAGAGTCTTTGCCAGTTCTGTTTTATATTGATATTTGTATCAGTATTTATCAATTCTCATTAGCTAGTAACACCTCACTAGCTAGTGAAGCCTGCTAGCATAACAGGATAGTGTAGCCACTGAAGTGTTTGTGTAACAAGACCGTCACATGGATATGAGCATTGGGGTTATTCAGAAAACTGTGTGCATGTAAACACACTCCACATATCTTACATTAGGAGAAAAGTAGAGGGTCCCGGTGCCAGTATTATACCTATAGAAAATGAATTTAAGTTAGCGATACATGCCTGACGTAGTTGAACTGGTTGAATTTAAAAGTGTTATTATAGCCATTAAAGGTCAGGTGTTTCTTCAGGAATTCAGTAACCAATGTGTCGACTCCATCTACCTGAATATGATTTCTTTTCTTTTCCCCAAACTCCTCTTTGGTCAGATCAATGTAATGAGTTGCAACTTTTTTAAGATTAGCAGAATCAAAAGGTTGATTTGCTGAGGCTAATTAGATAAGGATTGAACCTGTGACACTGTGGTTACTGTACGCTCTATGTTTATAAAAAATAATGTGAAAATTATAATGTGGACCGTTTCAAATATGAAACTTGTATTCATGGGAATGGCAAAATGGTGCTCTGAAAGATGGCCTTTACATGTGAAACGAAATTCTGAACTGGTAGATTATGTATTTTGCTGCTGTCATTCCCTGTGGTAACTGTTGTTATGAGCGCCTGTGTTAATCAAGATAGTAGAGAGAGTAAAGACAGTAGAGCTTGCTGGCAAGCTCTGATTAGCTCACATTATTTGAAAAACCACAAGTGGAGTACAATCCCGAGATCTAATTAGGCTACTTAAGCTTAACTCATAATGAATGGAGCAGTTTTGAGGTTGACAAGTTAAAACCAATCTCTGCAGCTTTTTCCCAAACCTTAGCCACACTAGCACCCTGGTTCTGAGAATGGTACCATTTGCATCGTAACTTTGCTCTCATTATCTTCAAGCCCATTGTACCGATGTTCATAGTGCCCAGAGGAAGCATACCGAGTTTCCCTTTTGCACCAACAGCCGGTTATAAATGTTAATTCATCAAATATTAAGGTTCTAAAATCCACTAATGTTAGCATGCTAACATGTTGCTAACGTGTAAGCCTGCTCAACATTACCCTGCTGGGCCTGCGATCACGTTCGTATGCCAGTGTTAGCATTTCGAAGCACTGCTGTGCCTGAGTATAGCATCACAAAGCTTATAGCATGGCTACATGAAACCCAAAATAATTTTGACAAATCACGACTATTTAGATAAAGTTGCTATCTGCTTGAAAATGAAAAGTTGCATTTCCAAGCTTACTTGCTAGGTAGAAGCATGTTTTCCTGAGGTATTTGCTTTAAAAAAAGCAAAAGAAAAAAAAAAAAGCTTGTTTTGCTAAGACCAATCTGCCCCTGCCTTCAGCCTCAGCCTGGCTTTGTTCTTCACACCCACTCTGTTGGAGCTGAAACTGATCTGAATCTGTGCTTCACCTTTGACCTACAGTATTTGTGCATTAACAGATATCTAGAGAGACATGGGGGCAGAGCTTTAAGTCTTTTTGCACGTTTCTGTTTGAGAACTGTCGGGGGACGTGGAAACAAACAGGAATATGAGGACATTCAACCACCAGAAAATAATCTTTTGTGTTTGTACTGTTTGGCTGATGAACATGGAGGAGTAACTCCAAAATCACAATGTATGATTATTTTCATGTAAGAATTCTTCTTCTTTTGCTAAAAAGACACCAAGTATTTGTTCCAAACCTGCAGTATGTTTTAAAGTGTTGTCTTAATAGATGGAAGCAAAGGTGAAAGAGCATTTTTTGTTTTAAAGGAATGAAAATCAGCCATAAGCAACTCACTTGAGTATTTTTATTTCTTAAGTATTTTTTATTACAGTTTCATCTCGGTGTTGAAACAGTGTGAGCTGTACAAAAGCTGTTGTATCACCAAATCGAACCCTGGTCACTTTGGGTTTTAATGTCTAAACACAGGAAGTGATCAGCTTGCCTTTTTATGACCTATAAGTTAACCTGCTGCTTTTGCCTCTAAAAAGCCTTCCGATGTTTGCTAACTGTAGCTGACTGTCATTTGTTACCCTTCCCGCCCCATCCGCTGTGTCTACGTTGGAAAAAACAAAATTAGCTTGTCCTCATCAGTTTAAAGATAATACCAGTGATTACAGACAAACTGCCATATTGGTAGACTGACTGATTGTAGCACTACGCCATGTGAGAGCTGTTACAGATTGATTTTTGATAATAAACTCATCATTTGCCCCCAGTTCATATTTCGGGGAATGACCTTCAAAACCATTTTCGTCAACAGGCGGCCTCTGAAGTGAGAGGGTTCAGTGCCTTGCTTGTAGGTAAAGGATTACGGTTCTTGTCTAATCACTTTGTACATTTCAAGGAGTCATAACTGATTGTTGTTGTTGGGGGAGGTTATAATCAGTGTTAAGTAGCCAGTACACAGAAACTGCTTAATAGGTCATTCACAAGTGTCTCAGGTTAGTCAAAATTAGATCTGTTTGCGAAAGTCAGACAGTTAGCCTCTCCATCTGTTCATGTCCTTTATGGACAACATATTCTAGATGTAGCTAAAGGCCGTGTTGGTTTTGGTTTGGTGGCGTTGGGAATTCACAAGTGACGTGGTCCTTTTAGGCTTTGTCAAGTGGTTAACCTCTAGCTTACAATGTTGTGCTTTTCTGCGAGGATGAGAATTGCCCTGCCCCTGATTGAGGATGAGGTCCTGCCTTGGGTATCCCCGGTTCTTGTTCAAGACTGGAGAAGTGGAGCCAGAGATTAACACATTGATTGGTGAAGGGTCTGCAGTAATGCAGATGTAGTACCAGCTTATTGCTGTGAAGAGAAAGCTGAGCGTGGAGCAAAGTTGTCAATTTACTGGTTGGATCTATCCCCATCACCTGTGACCTCAAGCTGTGGGCAGTGACCTAAAGATTGAGATAGTGGATACAAGCATCAGCTTCCTCCGATGGGCGTCTGGTCTCCTCTTACAGATAAGATGACACACTCGAAATAGATCCTCCACATCGAAAGGAGCCAGTTGAGGTGGTTGGGGTGTCTGCCTAGATGCCTCTAAGGTGAGGTGTTTAAGGCATAATGTACTGGGAGGAGACTCTGGATGAGCTGGAGAGATTGTGTCTCTTGGCTGCCATTGGAACACCTCAGTGACCCTCCTGAAAAGATGGAGATGGTTGAGAGATGGAGGTGTAGGTACTTCTGCTTGAACTGCTGACCCTGCAGTTCAGACCTTGATAAGTTATACTGGATGGATGGATGTTTGCACATGTACTTCCTGTTATCTCTGGCTTCAGATCGCCTTGGTTGATGAGCCTCAGTCCAAATTGCACTGAAATGCTAGGACCCAAAGTCAAGTTGCTTCTGATTGTGTTTGCATAATGACCGTTTTTGATGTTCAAGGTGAAAAGCTTAAAAGCTCTGGCATGTTCTGCGCTGTAACCACTGGTAGCCAATCCTTAAACACTTTACACCCAGCCTCTATAGAACTAGAAGAACAGATGCTTGCTATGTAGAGCAGATGCAATCTTGTGCTCACATCACACGTGTCACACAGCAACTTTTAAGAAACTGGAAGAAAAATGGTGGTGGGGTGGGGGGGTGAAATTACAAGAAACAGAAGCACTATGAGAATCCTTGCAATTAGTTTTTTGTTTCTTTGTTTTTTCTATTTTCATGCATCGCCAAAATTTACCGCACTTTGGAGCAATTCTGTCCTTTTCTTTACAAAACTATTAGTCCTTGGCTTGAAATTAGACGGTGAAGTCATGTGGTTTGAAAGACTAACAGTCATGCGGTGCCAAATGACGAGAGCGGGACAATCTGACCTCGGAGTGCGTCTCGGGTCTGAAACAGATTTCCTTCTCTGCCTGGTTCTGTTTTCAGTTGATGCCACCATGTTTGTCTGAACCAATACCTGTCTGTCAGCGTTAATAAAGATAAAATATGACAACAACAAAAAACAAGTTTTATTTAACTTCATATTTCACTGTTCACATATGTTTGAAGTGTGCATTGATTTACAGATCTTACTTCCCCAACCGCCCTGCGACAGACAGGCGACCTTTCCGGGGTGTACCCCGCCTCTCGCCCTATGACAGCTGGGATAGGCTCCAGCGCCCCTGAAAAGGATAAGCGGAAGCGAATGGATGGATGGATGGATGGATGGATGGATGGACTTCCCCAACCTCTAGCTAACTGTTCTCTCAGAGTACTGGAGGAAGAAGAAGGGCAACACAATGGCCTCAGGCTTCAAGGGGGATTTCTTGATGCTCTGGATGCACCTTCCATTTAGCAGCAGCTGTATGCAGGTGTGATGGAAGAAATACTGAGAATTACCTCAATACCTCAATTCACCCCCTGCTTCAATGAAGCTGTTTTACCTCAGAGTCTGAAAAGTGAAGCCAACATGTTGAAACCCCTTAAACAGGCACTTTTGGTAATGGCCAGCAGAATAGTTGCAGAATCGCATACAGTTGTATAGAAGTCTGTGGAGAAAGTGATCATGAGTATTTTGTTTTTAATCACCTTAGTAAACACTTTCCTAAAAACTTTCAGTTGCTAATTTCACATCTAGTTTAATACAATGTGGTTTTATGATGTAAAATTATGGCTCCCAAGCAAAGTAGACAAAGCAGGAGAGGCCTGTTGAATGGTTGCAAGCAGTGCAACTTCCTCATGAAGAAGCGTCTTGGATGAGCCCTAACTGACCCTGCAGATACTCATCAGTGTAGCTAGCGCTGCAAAAGAGGAGTGATCATAAAGGGAGTGGTGTTTTTGAGAATCAGGTCAATTCAAATGCAACTTTTCTATCAGCACAACAAGCATCACCAAACACACAAACAGTTTGTGTGCAGTTTGTCACACATTGTGTTGCTAGCTGAAGGTCCAGCTACTCTATTTCAGAGGGAGAGAAAAGAAGGAGAGCTAACTTCACTCAGAGATGGAGAAAGAAAGACGGGCAGAGGAAGAAGAGGTTAGATTTAAGGACTGTTCAGTGGAAATTTAAAGCTTACATGTAAGTCCTCATGTTTTTAAATCAGATATTGGGTGACATGTGACATATTCTCAAACTGGAGCAAATCAAACTGAGACTATTTAAAGGTAACATGAAAGTCCTCTGCAGGTTAGTGCAGGATAAAGAGGTTACTTTGCTGTACTGTGATGGATTTAAAGTAAAGAGCAGTGTGTGACTGGTGCACAGTGGTTTCATGGTCAGAGTGAGCTTACATCAAGTGTAAGTGAAGTTAAGCTGATGATACTGACCAACGTTATTCTGTCTAATATAAAGACAGCATAAACATCGTGTAGAGGATGGAAACCAGCCAGGACGCCTCAGGAAACATCTGCTGACATCTTGTTCATTTCAGTTGTGTAAATCCACAAACAGCAGTGACCCTCAGAGCAGTAGTAGCCCAAATCAGCTGATCACAGCTTGCACATTAAGAAAATCTCCTGAAAATCAACTGATTTTAGGGTTCCCACCTGCTGAATCCACTTTGACCTCTTCCCTTTATTTCCTGTTCAAAGGCAAAGTCAGGTCTGCGACGTAGGCGTCAGACAGCAGAGCGATTTTTCTGCTCATGTTCGACTTAACTCATTCAAAGTACCTTTATTAGAATTAAAAGTTTGAGTGAAATAAAGTTTGCTTTCATATCTACTAATATTATTTTATTATTACATAAAATAGCACAAGGTTCAGCTAGCTTTGCACACAGGTACATTTCAGAGCCTGTACTTTATCACTTTTACTTAAGAGGTTGAATCAGTGCCTCAGCTTTTACTGGACTATTTTTAACACTAGTATCTGTATGTCTACTTAAAGTTCGCAGTATCGTACAAACCGATGGGTGACATCATCAATATTCCATCCTTTAAATACAGTGTATGATTGTAGTTACATTAAACCGATATTTCAACAATATGTCCGGACTCATTTGGTTTCATCCAGTCCACTTAGATAAAACAGTGATGATATTAAGTGTAATATTACTACATTACCTCCTAAGACCTGAACTCTTTCATGGCAGCATTTATAATTTTTCTTTGCTATTTGGGTTAATTGGGAGCAAAAGAATGTAAAAACAAAGAATTACCAAATTTTTTTTTACCTAAAATAATGAGATCCACATACGAGGACATTTGTTTCAAGTTTTGGTAGAACAGTGGCAGCATGATGTCCTCGTAGGTGGATATCAGGCTCTTGTAGAGAAAAATTACGTATTTTAGTCTCGACGTCCCAAAATGTGATGTCCACATATGCGGACGCCAGGTCCTGGGAGGTTAATATGGAAACAGCATTTCATGCTTTCAAGCAAACATGGTCCCAGTTATGAAGCTACAAACCACCACAGCAGAAGACATTTTCCTTTCATAGGTTATCTTTATTCATATTAAATCCAGAAAATAAATACAAAACATTTTGGGAGCATCTGATAAAGTGACAAAGACCCGCTTCAGTCAAGTTTTGCTAGTCAGAAAAATGCATTTTTCCTGTTTTAGCCACAGTTTGAAGTTTTATTTAAACTTGGACAATGTGTTGAAACAAACTTCTTCAGTCTCCCTCACAGGGATCTAACAATGGAAGATTTCCAGTTTATGAAGAACAACCTCAAACTTCTAACCAGAGACTGACTGCACTTTAAATCTGGAACTGGAGCGTCAGGTTTTAATCATCCAGAGCCCTCCTCAGTCTGGGAGTGTTTATTTGTGACACGAACAAATATTCAACACTAAGTATTGAGATGATGGCACATTTACATGGATGACTTACTGTCATTAAATGG